GATACAAGGCATGAACTCACCAGGATAATTACGGCATCTCTGACTTTATCTTTTATTTCATTGTATACCTAAAATTAGAAAAAGCAGTATCATGAAATGAGTCAACAGGATAATTGAAACAAAAAGAAGCATATTCAAATCCAACTCAAACTAGCACATAACATTAATAATTTAATATTAGATACAAAAAGAAGTCATCGCATACCTGATCACGGAAGCATGTTAATCCAACTTCATTAAGTGCAGGAAGTGATCTCCGAGCAATGAAGTACCTATCAAGATAATGGAAGAATCGCGACAGCCACCGGACCATGACTTTATGATTCGACCATCTTTTATCAAGCTCCCTTAGCATGAACTCATCATGCTTCTCTCTTAAAGATGGCAACACCTGGTCAAGTGAAAGATGGAAAGAAAAAAGAACAATGAGCAACAAATCAACTACACTAACAACAAAAAAGTCAATAGTTAAATCTTTTTATTTCTTACCAACACTCATATTTTATCTATTGATGGTAAAGTAATTTTTTTGATGGCTTACTGATGGTAAAATAGTTAAAAAATTAAGAATTTCCCACAAGACTCAAGGATAAAACATGGGACTACAAAAATAACAACCAATCTCAAATAAAGCAGTAGAATTTTTCATGCATAAAAAGAGCTTCGAAACAGGAAACAGAGAACCTGAATCAGATCAGAGCCAAATATATTATCAACTGCAATGCACTTTTATAAGCAAGTAGATAATGCAGGCCTGGGAAACAAGGTTCGTTTATAGCTATCTGAGATTTCAAAAATTCTCAGAAAGATATGCAGTGAAGATACATGTATTCCTGGAAATCATAGGTCTTCTTATAATTAAAGGATTAGACACCCCTTCTTGATACAATGAAGAGAATAAATGATGGATTCAACAGAAATATATAAATAATAATATAGGATCTACAAAAGAACATGCACGCTGCAGTCAACAATAACATAACATAGCCCAACATTGTCTAAACAGATGGACAGAAACATCATCTCGAAGACAGAGAGTTAGTCTACACAATACAAGTATTTTTACAATCCAACAAAGTTCAGAATATGGGATAAGCATCAATGTTCCTTACCGTTGAAGTAATATACTCCTCGAAAGCTTCCCGGTACTTGTTATAAAGCTGTTGGGAATAATCATGAGGACGCTTCTGTGTACACATGGTGTAGATTGTTCTGCAATTGGAATTAATGAAAAGATCATGGCAATATGTTCAAAACAGTTGTTAACAAAAACTGACAAACGAAAACGACAAATAGAAGGTTACGTCCAAATCTCCAAATATTCTTCTGAGCTCAATTGTTCCTCTGGCTGCTCCTCCAAAATCCTCTTCAATTTTGTGATCCCCTTCTGTATGCAATCCCATCCTTGATCCCATTCAATAATCTCACGGGCCATTGTTGAGAATTACTGAAGGTGAAATTTCTTCAAATTTAAATCTGTAGGTACATGAGAAAGCCATCAAAACTTGATCTGTCAATGCAATAAACCATATTTGTAAAAATAAGTGACACTTAACAAACTAATGGATAGCTATCAGAAAAATCCTCAGCAAATACAATACCAATTCACTAATTCCCAGTCAAAAATTACAAAACGAAACATCAAGGAACAAATTGCATCAACAAATCGAAACCAGCAATCAAAAATCTCTACAGGAAACATAAACACAAAACCCTAAAATCAACACCGCAATCATGAAACACAACAATCCGAACAGTATTTCCAGACAATGCAAAATATCAGAAGCAACCGCCGCCGTAACCG